CCATCGGCCCAAGAGATTGTCGATTTGCTGCAGAGCCGACCCAGCGACTAGACTGGAGACAAAAACCTTGTGGAATTTTATGCTTTCCTTTACGTAGCCGGTTAAATGCGCGCTGAAATTCGAAAAATTTGGAACGACCAAAGGTATAATTTGCAATACGAACGCCGAAACCGGCAATGTGGAACAGTCGCCCACGGTATCACCGATTGCAGCTATGACGGTCGGTCTCGAGACGTCGCGCCGCCCTTTTCTTACGCGCATGTAGACTGAGAACGAAGCGCTCTTCAAGGCAGCCCAAGACGGCAGTGTCGATGACGTCCGTCGACTGCTTGCTGCAGGGGCCGATGCCAGCGTCAGGTTCGGTGGTGTACGCCCTTGTCACTTGCGGACGCTGCTCATCGCTTGGCGTAGAGCCGTATGACGCCGCTCTGTGCCGCTGCGGCCAACGGGCACGTAAGCGTTGTGGAAGTGCTTGTCCAAGCCGGTGCCGACATTTTTCAAGGCAACGCGGTAGCTTCCGGAAGAACGTCGTCCCTGGCGCTTGAACACTTTCTTAGAAAAGCGAGCTTCCTCGGACGCTAGCGGAAAATAAGGGGCATGCCAATGTTGTGGCTGCGATCGATCAGGCAATTGACTGGCGCGTGCGTCTGCTCAAAGCACTCGTGGCAAACGATGTGCCCGCGGCGCTGGCCCTCCTCGCAGAGAATAAGGGCCCAGCGCACATCAAGTACTGGGTACGCGTATTGATGGGCCCATTCTGTAACTACGCTCCAACTTCTAGCCGTTTGAGCTACCCGTCAACATTTCTCTTACTGAGTATGGGACGTACGAGCTCGGCGACGGAGCCATTGCGGTGTGCACGTCAGCGTCCTTGGACGTTCTCACACAGCATTATGGCCATAGCGAGGTATCACGGCACTGCACATTCCCGCTGCCCATGGCGTCGACGAGCTCGTTGCTGCACTCCTGGACCGCCCGGACATTCAAGTGGGGAATTTCGGGGTTGTACGTGCCTCTCTACTATCAAGTTGCACCAAATCATATTGCGTAGGGACAACACAACGTCATGCCTTTGCACATGGCCGCGCGCAACGGCCACGCCAATGTCGTGTCGCGGCTGTTGGCGGCCAAAGCGCAAGTCAACTTTATTGGCCACGTACGTCCATTTCTGGTGAACCTATTTGGACTAGCATAGACTAGAACGGATGGACGCCACTGCATTGGGCTGCGATGCACGGGCATGCCAACGTCGTGTCCTTGCTCTTGGCAGCCGGCGCGGCCATCGACTGCCAAGACGAGGTATGCTTTGAGAGTTGTCGCAGGAACGTCGACTGTATCGTAAGGCGAACGCTACACCGCTCTTCCTCGCTGCGAAAGCCGGTCATACGAGCGTTGTACAAGCTCTAATAGAAGCAAATGCCGACGCGCAATTGACCAACGAGGTACTCTTCCTCACGACTGTCCCGTATGCAAACGATTTATGAGATAGAGCAGCGAATCGCCGCGCTCGATTGCAGCTACAGGGGGCCATACGGCGGTGGTGGCGCTGCTGGATACAGTGTTGCCACCGCCGACGCTTGCTGTGGCAGTGCCCGAGACGACGGTACTCGTACCTGTTGTGGTGACGTACATTCATGTGATATTAGCACCCGATGTCGGAGGCCATCCGTGATGGCGACGTGACCAAGGTCGCTGAGCTCTTACGCGGTGGGGCCGACCCCAACGCGCGCTACGAGGTGAGGACCTTTCATTTGCCCTAATTTGGCTCGATTGAGTGGTTAGCGTGGTCCAGCTCTCTCTCCGAGTCCGTCATCAAAAGCTGGCGTCGGCATTTCCTTTCTTCTAGTCAATGCCAAGGCCCATATCAATGTACACGATCAAGCGACCGCGCCGATCGTATCGCAACTGCATGTATCGTGTAGGACGACAGCAGTCTACTGCATGTGGCGGCGGCCCACGGCGCAGAGGCTATCACGGCGCTACTTCTCGCGAGCCCTGGCTTGCTCATTGACCCGCTCGATAGCGTAGAAAGAACATATCTCATATTCACTACAGATTTGCAACCACATGCTAGATGGGCAACACACCGCTGTCGCTTGCTGCCGCCCACGGCCATGCAGCAGTCGTCCTGCAGCTTCTAAAAGCCAAGGCCAATATCCAGTCGGTCACGCAGGCAAGTCCTTCCGTCGTATGGTGGAGCTGAACAAAGCATGCGTAGGCCAAGGAAACCCCGTTGCATGTCGCCGTCACTCGTGGCCATGTCCCCGTCGTGGAGCTGTTGTTGGACGCCGGTGCGAGTGTCGATGCCGAGAACAGCGTAGGGCTTTTGCCGTTATATATAAAAGCCCTTATTGGAGAGTCATGTAGGACAACAAGACGCCGTGGACGCTCGCACAAGAACTCGACAACCCTGACCTTCTCACAGTATTTCGCACCAAGAAGGGACTCTCTTCGTTGAGCAAAGCTGCGTCCGAGATCCACGATACGCCGGTCGAGGCCACCAACGATTTCTTGGCAGCGGTTCAAGCTGGACACATCCACCAGTTGCAGCAGCTGCTCGTGGCCAACCCCAACCATAATGTCATCCAAGACGAGGTATAACTGCTAGCATTGGGGGGCGACCGACGTGTGTCTGTAGACGGGTGACAGTCTGTTGCACGTGGCTGCAAAGGGGGACCACATCGGCATCCTTCGAATGTTGCTCCTTCAGACACCTGCCATCAGCCCGCAGCTGCGCAACAAGGTGCTTTTGTATCAACTTGAAACATTTCGAATCAGTGCGTAGAGCTTGGAGAGTGCGCTGCATATCGCAATCAAGCGCCGGAATCTGCACACGACCCAAGCACTCCACTATGCTGCACGTTGGATGACGCACTGTGTACACAATGACCTTTTCGAGCCAACTTTGACGACACATTGCCTAGGTTGCTGCCAACGCTATTGCCATCAACCGAGAAGTCGCGCTCGGTGAAAGCAAGTGCAACATCATTTACCAAGGTGAGTTTAACGGTGACGCGGTCGCGGTCAAGACGGCGCTCTTTCCGTCGCAAGCACCAGGTCTTATCTGCGAGATCGAGGCGCTCCAGCGGTACGTACTAGTCTCTTGGATCCGTACCGCTGCTAATTGCAGTTATGGCGATGCAGCTGCGACTCGCCGTATCTCACGCGGCTTCTGGCCGTCGCCGACCACGACACAGCGTGTCCCAAACTCGTCTTCGACTATATGGGTGTCGGCAATCTCCGCATGTACCTCGACAAGAAGCGCGACGGTATCGATACCGA